CGCGGTGCGTCTCGGGCGCCGCCTCCTCCTCAATGGTCCGCAGCCCAGCCTGGGGATGGCAAGGTGACCCAGTGACCCCCCAGTCCAGGAGAGGAGACCAGAACTGCTCTCCACTGTCCTGCTTTAATCTGCACCAGGCTTTCCGGAGGCCTCGTCTCAGACTCTGCGCTCCTTCCTGGCTCATCCAGTGTCCCCGGGGCCACCACGTCCTGCTCTGGCCTCCAGAAGAGTGCACACCCTGGTCATTCTCGAGACCCCACAGGTGGAGGTCTTCTGCCCGCTCCAGGCCTGGAGGTTGAGGAATCTTTCACCCAGTGCCGCCTCCCAGGCAAGTACTGTGCGATCTCTCTTGACCGCACGTGCCGTTCGTCCATTTTCCTGAGCTGATCAGGGCTCATGTTACCAGCAATGGAACCATCAAAGCTGGAGCATCGCTTCTGTGGCATCCCTCTCCGAGACCCACAGCCTCAATCCAGCGTGAGGAAACGTCAGGCACGTCCATGCTCAGGACATCCAGGCCTGCCATTGCTTTTGTTTTTTTTTAAGGTTTTTATTTTTCCTTCTGTCTTTCCCATAAGGCACATGCCTTTGCTGGAGAGAGACAGAAAGAGGGAAAGTGGGAAATCACCCGCCAGGGGGGATGGCCACACCATAATCCCTTCTCCATTCTCCTCCCAGGATTTTGGACACGCATGCACATTCGCACCTGGCACCACGTCGAGGACTGGAACCATGACTGCCCACGTGGAAGGCCAGCACCTTAACCCCCACACCACCTGCTGGCCCCTGGCCTGGTATCTTTAAAAGTGCCATGGTCACACTGAGGAAAGACTGAGGAACTGTTCCAGATGGGGGAGACTGAAGAGATAAGATGACGTGTGTTGTGTGGGATCCTTTTGCTATAAAGGCCATTTTGGAAGCAAATAGTGAAATTTGAATGGGGTCTAGGATTAGCTGGTAGTAATGCATCAGTGTAAAGTTTCTGATTGTGATGGTGTTATCGTGGGTATACAGGAGGATTGTGTAGGAAGATGCTCTCGTCCGCAGGAAATACATTTTAATGTGTCCTGAGTTGGTGGAATATCATATGCTGGAATTACCCTCAAACAGTTCAGGAAACAAAGGTTTTTGCATTATATTTGCAACTCTTAAATGTATGCGATGTTTCAAAATAAAAATTGTAATTGAAGTAAAATTTCGAGCACATATTCCAAATGCATGTGTATTTAAAAATTTATGTATTATGTGCATTACAATCAACACGAAAATAGATTTTAAAATGAGATAAAACATGATACTGTTAAGTTTTTTGTGCTAGGCAGTGGGGCTTTTTTTTTTTTTTTCTTGAGAGATTTTTGCTAGAGGTCATATGCGCTCACTGGAGAGACAGAGAGAAAGTGAGAAATCACCCCAAAGGGGTGCTCCCATCCGGCAGCCCATTTCCCATTCCCCTCTCAGGAGTTTGACATACACATGCATATGTGCCCGGCATGCATTTCAAGCCTCCGGGTCTGGGACTTGAACCACAGTCAGCCATGTGGGAGACCAGCAATGTAGCCACTATGCCATCTGGTGGTTCAAGTAGTGGGGCATTTTAAGGACTCCCCAAGAATCTGCTTTTTGGCGACCACTGCTTTTATCTAAATTGTTTCCTTTGAACAAGTCCTACTTTCTGTGGTCCAGCAAACAAAGAGCCCCTGGGTCTTCTCCCAAGATTGCAATGTCTTCCATCGTGGGCCACCCAGAAGTCCCATCCCAGTTCCTCCCTCCTCCTGACTCCCTTCTTCCTTCTCTGCCTCACGCATTAGGGAGGGAATTGGATTCCAGAG